AAATGACATAGTTTTGCCCTGATTATTTAGCAAGTAACGCACTGTCCAAATTTCAACTTTAGCCCAGTTTTTATAATAAACACTTGAACCATTGTTGTCTTTTGTGTCCCTTCCACAAAGGATACATCAGCATCTAATCAACACGTATTGGTTTTTCTAATTTGAAAAAAGGTTTTCCAAGCATCTAAAACCTTATCCAAAAATGTATTTGTTGATACTTTTTCTATTGTTTTTCAGTGAAGAACACATTTCTGAGTAAGTATCAGTAAATATCTACAACAACCGATTGAAAAATAATCATTTATCAATTATGAGCCTGAAAATTAAGAAAAACAAAATGTGTTTCATAAGTGTATTCAATCCATGACAGTACTAATGTCCAAATATAACTCATCTCAATACAATTATTTGCTCCACAGAAGAGACTGGTCTCATCAACTTTGAATTTGCGTCATACAGCTTTCTTATCAGTCCCTGTGTACATGCTTTTAGATTTATAAATTAAGTATGTTTATAATACAGCTTGTGAATACCAACATATGTGCATTGTATTTGAACTTTTCTATACAGATGAAATAACGTATATGGACATTCTTTGTAAAACATCGTGTGATATTTAGCATAAATACTTAACCAAATATGACAAAACACGCCCACAGATTTTTGAAATGTTGTATTTATCGTTTCGTTTTCTTGATTTTCATTTTCATCAGTTCATATTTTCAAATATCTGATTTCAGAGAGCATTCAATAAAGACACTGTACAGATATCAATGTAACAGTTGTGGGTAAGAATAAAGTGTTATTTAGGTTGAATGTGAAAAGATGTTTGGATATGCCAAGGTGTTATTAGCAAACATCCTTTCGACGAATATAAGGAAGAGTTAATCACAACGAAAAACGATTGGCACACTTATAAACACTGCACAACATAAAAATACTAAAACAAAGGATAAGACATGTGAAATAATAAAAATGGCATAACCAGAGAAAGCATCAATTCTAAGAATAAATTAACAAGAAAACCACGACGTTCAGACCGATAGGAGAAAAGAAAATGACTGAACAAAGAAATAATAATTGGGATAATATGGTCTTACCACACTAGAAAATGAAATTAATTACGAAAATGACAAAACCAAGAACATTTATAGCGATAACACGGTCTAACAGCACCAAAAAAAGTAGATAATTGTAATAAATAACTCATTCATAATCCCGTTGTTCAATTCTTATCAGTTTTAATAGATACAAAGGAAAGAATATGATTTAGAAGATGATATTCAACCCTATACAAAGTAAAATTCAACCCGAGATAATATATGTAGATGATGAAATTAATCTGAAGAATTCGAACTAACGGTGCTGTTGAAATGGATTCTTTTTAATAAGTTTACAATAGTTACTTTTATGTTGTTTTTCAGGGAAGAAACACTTTCTGAGTAAGTATCAGTAAATATCTACAACAACCTATTGAAAAATACTCATTTATCAATTGTGACCATGAAAATCGAAACATGTGTTTCATAAGTGTATTTAATCAATGACAGTACTAAGTCGTTATAGTTTTTCATGTTTGTGTTTATTACGGCTTTATAAAGTTTTATAAACATCCATCTTGCTTAAAGTTGATGAAAAAGTGTGGTTCCTTTACTTTCTATCAGTGTATTAAGGGAAAATGATACGATGTCTATTTTAGTAATACAGAAATTCAACCATGAAACATACACATTTTAAGCAAAAGTAGATTAGAAGAAGTGGTTTGTATTGGACTTGTATTTTTTTAGACATGCTTTCCATTCAAGTAATATAACATGTGGCCATAAAGAAAATGAACAAAATAAGTGTCTAGTCTTACTGACGACCATCTGTTGACTATTTAACGTAAGACGATTTTTGGGAAACTTATACAGATTTTTTTTTATCAAAAATGAATAAATAATCAGCCAGTACAACCACATGATATTGTATTTTACGTTTTTCGGTGATAAAGTAAAGTAGATTAATTATCAAATAAAGCTTAACCAACTCATAAGTAATTACTGTTAAAACTATTTCAATAGGTTTTTTTTTTTTTCATTTTATTTTGCATTTTTTTTATAGAAGCAACCCTACATGGTGAGTATTACATCATATTATTTTCATAAGATAATATTTAAAACCTACCAATTCAAAAAAATCATATAACTGACTATGCAACCTTAAATTCAGATTTAACCAAAAGTGTTTTTTTCTGTAAACGTGCATATCAGTTTTTCTATAACTCTCTACTAGAATAAGTGATATCAAGATATCGCGTAAGTGAGAGGCGAAAGATAACAGAGAAACATTCAAACTCATTAGTGGAAAATATTCTGACAACGCCATAGCTAAGATGGAAACAGACCAAAGACAAACAACGGCACACTAAACACAACATAGAAAACTAAAAACTGAGCAGCACGAACCCCACCAAGAACTGGGGGTGATCTCAAGTGCTCCGCAAGCGTCTGCTGATCCTGCTCCACATGTGTCACCCGTCGTGTTGCCCGTGTTAGTACAAACCCGAAAATGAGTCCAATCCGGTAGGTCAAATTCGTGGAAAAGGAGACTGGATTGTACTTATAACATTTTGGAACATATCCGCTCTCATCTGTGAACAGATTTCATCAATCGTGACGGCGTAAAATTTATGAAGGGGTGATTTCAACATCAACACTCGGAACCCTTGGTTTACTAGCTTCCTTTTTTACAGTAATCTCTATCATGGAAATCATGATAGGAAATACAAGCCCTGGTATATTGTATCAACTTGGAGATATATTCTCCGTATGCAGGCGCTGTTGGAATTTTGCTACATAATAATGGAAAGTTCACAATTGGGCAGCTGCATTCATATCTTTTGTCGTAAAGTTTTGTTTTCAACCGACCCTCATTGTCAATTTCGAGATGTAAGGCAAAAAATGAGGCACACTTAACTGTATCTGTTGTATCCTTAATCTCAGATTCGATTGATAAAATGCGTTCAACATAGTCAACACTTTTTGAATTATTCAGTAAGAGAACCTCATCTATATAGCAGAAAGTAAAGTTAAAGGATTCTGCTCAGAAGTTTCTGTATGAAGTTAGCCTAATATGAATAAAGGAATAAGTCGGCAAGAAGAGGGGTACAGTTGGCTCTTTGCAGAAGCTAAATAAAAACCTGCAAACAAACGTTCAGTTTGCTTAACAGATGAATATGTGAAAAATAACAATATTGAATGCTATTGTTTTCAAAACTAAACAGGCGCATACGTAAGCATGATTAGCTTGGATTACACAAAGAAAAACGTTCAAATTATTCAAACAATTATCTAAAAGAGAACATCATTTTTAAACAGTAAGTAAACAAGCCATACCCACTTAAACATTGTACAATACCACTAAGATACACTGCAAACTGTTCAGAATCTGAAAAGGCCGTAATTTTTTGCACGACTAGTAAGGTCGACCACAGATTTTACTTGACAAGACTCGACATAATCTCGACAGAACTTTACTGTACCTGACTGTACTCGACTTTACTTAATAAGTCTGATTAAGTACTTAATAATTTCGGTATTGTCTGATTATGGTCTCGACCAGTCTCGATTTTCAGTCTCGACCAGTCTCGACCTATCTCGACCTGTCGTGACCAGTCTAGACTTGTCTAGACCTGTCTCGACTCAGTCTTGACCTTTGAGTTTAATCTAGACTGGTCTGATTCAGCCCATCTAGCTCAATTATATATTGATCATACAAAATTACAGGTAATTAGTAGTTTGGTTCATTTCTGTCAAATTGAAAGATAATTAATAGTTTAGCAAAAGCTAGAATTTTCAGTTCTGATTAAATTCAGAGAGTCACCTTTAATTATTTCTATAACTTTCTCAAATCAACATGGATTTTCATAAAACTTTACAGCTATCTCAATTATAAATTGATCTTACAGAATTCAGGTTGTTTATTAGTTTAGTGTATTGCTGTCAAATTTAAGGATTTAATTAATAGTTCAAAAAAAGCTAAATCTTAAGTTTAAGATAGATACCTATAAATTTAGTCTTAAAATTTGACAGCAATAAAACAAACTACCAAATAACCTGGTATTTTGTAAGATCAAAACATAATTGAGATAGCTGTGTACTTGTATGAGAATTTAGTCCGAACTGAAAATTCTAGTTTTTTTTTTTTACCTACAAACAAAATTATAGAATTTGACAGAAATACACCAAACTACAAAACCTACGAGCATTCTGTAAGATAGATATATAATTTAGATAGCTGTATAGTTTGATGAAAATTCAAGTTGATTTGAAAAAGTTATAAAAACCTTTAAAGGTGATTATCTGAATTTAGTCCGAACTGAAAATTCTAGCTTTTTTTACCTATTAATTAAATCCTTAAATTTAATAGCAATACACCAAACTACCAAACAACCTGACATTCTGTAAGATCGATAAACAATTGAGATAGCTTTATAGATTCATGACCATCCAAGTTGATTTGTAAAAGTTATAGAATTTAATCAGAAATGAAAATTGTAGCTTTTCCTCCCTATTAATTAAATATTTTTGTTTGACAGCAATGAACCAAACTACCAAATAACCCGTAATTTTGTAAGATCATTACATAATTGAGTTAGATAGGCTGATTCAGACCAGTCTTGACAAAATTTAAAGGTTCAAGACTGAGTCGAAACAGGTCGAGATAGGTCGACACTGGGCAAGACTGAGTCTAGACTGGTCGAAACCATATTTAGACTGTACCAAAATCATCAAGTACATAATCAGACTAAAGTCGAGTACAGTTAAGAACAGATTAGTACTGTCGAGATTATTTCGAGTCAAGTAAAATCTGTGCTCGACCTTACTGGTCGAGCACAAAATATGGTCTTTTCAGACACTGAGCCGTTTGTCGTGATAATGGCATTCCTAATGTATTCATCCGAAGAAAAAAATACCTTTGATACATGTTACTTTATTCCACGAACTTTTTGATCATGTTTATGTTGTATTTACAGCTGGCCAATACATGGACGATTTTTGTAAGTTTGTATATATACACATTAACGATGTATTTTCCATTTAATATAGCATAGCTGAATATTTAACCGATAAAACACAAAATCGAATTCAGCAATATTTTGCCTTTTATTTCAATTAACCTTGACCACTAAATTCGTAAAATAATCAAACTCTGAGCTCATAACCTATACACTTTGGTTTTGCCTTTGTCATTAAAGGCACAGTTTAAGACAATATCTTGTAAATGAAGCAAAAACATTTTGATTTGATTTTGGAAAATTAGAAAATGCTGATCATGAATGAATACTGTATGATATGATTTAACATAGAAAAAAAGTAAATAATAAACCGAAAACCGAAATCTAGTTTTACTTTAGTAGTAATGAACTTATGTAAACTTCATAAGACAATTTAAAAACAAATATATGTTGCATCATAAGAACGTTTTGAGACGTTAACTTTACAAAGGATACGATACAAAGTGATACTTTCAGTGAAAAAATATGAGTATGTATGTCTTCATGGTCAAAGCCTAAATGATAGATATGAATGAAATATTAAACTGTGTAACTCTATTATACGTAATTTCAGTGATAAATTATGGTGTGAATACAATATTTTATTTTAATTTGTCTTTTTAACAATGCTATATTTTAGCATCTGCAAAAACTGTCGGTGAGTGTGTTTTATGTTTATATCACCTTTCCTTTCTTATGATTTATCTCTGTTTTTGGTTTTGTTTTCCTTTCCTTTTGTTTTGCTAAGTTTGTTTGATGTTCGGAATGTCTTATGATATTGCTAAAATAAATTCAAAGTTATCACAGAAATAAGAAGATGTGATATGAGTGCCAATGAAACAACTCTCCATCCAAGTTACATTGTGTAAACAGAAAACAATCAGAGGACTTCAACACGGATGCTTGGCTCACACCGATCGCAAGCGAAAAAGGGCCCCAAAATGACTAGTGGAAAACAATTAAAACAGAAAAACCAACGTCTTATCTATATAAAAAACGAGAAACGAGAAACACTTATGAACCACATCAACAAACGACAACCACTGAACAACAGGTTAATATTTCTCTTCTAGTCACTCTCGTTGTATTGAATCAAATAATCCCCGAATGATTGATCTAGTTTTTGCATATCGTGTATGACGTCATATGTTATGTTTCGGTGTCAAACTTAAACATCGGACATTTTAAAACTGTTCGTACTCAGAATATAATAAGATAATAAGAAAATATTCAGGCAAAAAGTGTGAGTGTTTTGTATATCATTGAAGAAATCAAATATGTCCACTGCCATGGACAGAATGTACATCGTCTTAACCTTTGAAAACCAGCAATGACACAACGAATAATCAATGAAGATGTCATATTATCGTCTCATCATGCTGAATAAGCCAATCAAATTATCGCAGATTCTCGTATCACTATTTATCATATAACACTTCGTGCCGTGTGATACGAGATATATCTCTTCATTCAAGAAAAAGATAACAGGTCGCACCCATAAGAGAAATAAAAATTTTAGGATGTGCTGACAATACAATACACACTAACTTCGCATAATAGCATTCAAGCATTGTGCGCAGGGCGAATAATTTCACATTATATGTATACATGTTATATGAATACCCCATGTATGTGAAACCAAACAAACTTAGTTTTATTGAAAGAAACGCAGTCATAAATTTACTATGCAGATTTCAGTTTCATTTAGTCGATATGTATAGAACAACCAGTCAGTCAATATTACCATGTTAAAAGATTAAGTATACTTGTACTTCATAAGAACAGCAAACACATACCAGATGGTCTTAATGGAAAATACATTATGGATTGATGAAATGGACTTTACAGTTTTATTTTCATAAAACAGTTAATATACCACTGTAAAAACCAACTTCATGCATATCTAAATGTTTTACTGGTTGTCGACAAAATGCATGGACAATTATTGAAAATGATGCAATTTAAGCTATTTATTGAATAAATTACAAAAAAACACAAGAAAATTAAAATATCAAACCAGACAATCCAAAAAAAAAGCATTCCATTTTAACGTGGTATATGTATTACACCAGGACAACACCAAGTAGCAACTGTCGTTGTCTATAAATGCAACTTTTCAACTAGTAATTGGCGTAATTTGTTTTTGCTTTTGCTAAATTATTTGCATAAATCACAAGGAAAGCTGATTTAAAATGTTTAACAAAAAATAAATATTAATAGTTAGTATGTATGTATGGCCTACTATGTACTTATATCTTTCAGATTTCTAAAGTGGTTCTTTCTCAAAGAAGAGAAGCAACAGAAAACTTAATAACCAGCGCAAATATACATAACTATGCAATGCATTATCTATTTTAACTATTCGAAAATGCTGATACATTTGACGGCATTTTTTTTTGGTATTGTAGTATGTCTCTGTACAAGGTTTAAAAATCTTTATAGTAATGCGGTAAATTGAACTTTGTCAGTCTGAATCGTTATATATGCTTTCCTTTGAGATACATTTAAAACATTTGAAACTGTTTATTTGACGTAATAAATGATAACAATGTATGGAATTTACTCAATTAAAATAGAATTTATTTTTGTTTATGAGTGTAATCATAACCATACTCAATTTGCCGCGATCATTTATTGAAATAATATACCAACGGGTTCCCAAAGTTTTCCCACCATTTTTGCTGTGCAGGTATACCGTCTATATCCTTTTAACTTTGAAAATTATTAAAAGGAGGTTAGTAACAATTCGTATGTTGAAGAGGATATGGCCATTGCCAAATGCGACAACAGAATAAAGGGTCCAAACAGTTAGCTCCTACGAAGAAAAAAAAACAAGAGTGGAATAAGGATATTACAAAGGGTATGCACCTGCTGCTCCGTAAGTGGCATTTGTCGTTCTGCTCATGCCGAACAATTAGGGGGAAATACAACAACTGATTCCCTTAATATCGGTATTTTTGTTCCATGATGATTGACCTCATTAATCAGTAACCAATACTGTCATTTCATATGACACGTGTGAAGTGTAGCTAGCTCTGAAACCAGATTTAATCCATAATTTTCTACATAAGGAAAGGCCTGTACCAAGTCAGAAATATGACAGTTGTTTTCCATTCGTTTGAGGTGTTTGAGCTTTTGATTTTGCCATTCGATAGGGGACTTTCCGATTTAAATTTTTCTTATTTCTTAGAGTTCAGACATTTTTTTATTTCCCCTTTTCAGGGTTCATTTTACCTTGACCTCTTTTCCAGGGTTCATTTGACAACATTACCTTATATCCATACCCTTTATTAATTCCACAGTATTGATACGATAAATACGCTTTTAATGAAAAGTAGTAGACAAGTATTGTCTCTAACATATTTACAAATCATGTGTTTCTACAATGTAATAGAGGTATAAAATAATATAGAAATCAAGGAAAACATAAATTTCAACCAACTGCAGAATATAAGTCGATTTTCCTAGAATAATTGAAATACAATTTTGTATACATGGTATATGTGCCAGCATTAACGAATGCATTAACAATAGTCATATATCAGTTGTATATCAATACATTACTAACTGATAACAGAGAAGTACTTATTTTTAACAAATGTTGTTAGTTTTCATTTTATAAGTACTCAACATATAAATTTGATACAAACCCGAAGACTGCAGTATACATAACCCATTTCATCTAAACTCAGATTTCAGTATTGTATCCTATCCGCATCCTGGTGCTAGTTGACACTCTCAAACTATGTTCAGAGGAAAACAAATTGTCGCCAATGATTTACAGGATCGCATACTATCAACACAGTGTAAAACATGAAAGTATCAAATGGACGAAGAATGTTCAAGATATTCTAAACCTCCCGCTTTATGACAATGTTAGAAGAATATCGCTAACATGACAACACTATGTGACAGAAATAAAGCACAAAATCACACAATAACGCACAAACAAATAATATAATAGTCGACACAACATGCAAACCGCAGAACAAACAAAAAAAAAACGAACCAATTCCATCAACGACAGACACCACAGGATATCTGAAACAGTGACGCGTTCACGTAACTAACATTCAATCTCGAACTTTCTACAACTATTATCAAAACAATTTTCATGACAATGATGGTATTGAAAGACAATTTATACATATTTTGACTACGTACGATAAGACATAACACATTATCCCACCGAAACCATAACAGAAACATTAAAAATAAATACATGAATGATGGATGTAAAAAATACCAAGACACGCCGTATAGCAATGCAAATTCATACTCTGTATACCAGTAATGTACACATGCAATTTAGATTAAAACAATAGGTTATCTACTTTATATACACATAAATTGATTAATCCAATCCCTCCTAGTGATCGATCATTCCTACTTACGAACGGTAAAAACTCTTCACGGATCCGTGATTTTGATTAGTGTATTTTAGCAGAAATGACAAAGCAGTCAATTATATTTGTCGATATAGGTAATTTCCGAGTTAACTCTGAATGACATATTAATGATTTATCACTGGCAATGCATTCAGACGTTAATGACGCAAACATAGATCAGCGGAATATAACGACTGAATTATTCAGGTTAATATAGACATGCAATATGAGATTAATTCCTAAGTCAAGTATTGGCATTTAAATAGCTGTTACATATATATGCATACAATAATTTGAACACATCATAAAAAATCTATTGATTTTTATATATCATTGAAAATTGATTAATGTTTGAATTCAGAACTTAAAATCTACCATTATCATGCGTACTAGATTAGTGGAAATTAGATAGCATTTCAGATTTAGATAATTCCGAATTATGTTACTTCACATTTTCACCTTTCCAAAAGTGGTCATTTATTAGAACTACTTGTCTTAAGGTTACTTTACAGAAAACTCCCCATAATAGCTCAACCCCTCCGTTGTTCCGCGACATATGCATGAGTGAACCAGGTCAAAACTGCCGTGTACAATGCGAGTAAAAATCGTACCATTTCCAGCAGACCGAATATTTAATCGGAGAACAAATCATTCTGCTGCAAACGCGATATGTGAACTATGATATGTATCATCAAACAGCACAAATAGCAAGATATGTCTGAAATTTAAAAAATCGGACAGTGTGACAGAGGGATTACAGACTGAGGAAAAAACGACCACCAAAAGACAAAGAAAAGCAGACAACTCTCAACTTAGAAAAATAAAAACTGACCAACATGAACCTTACGAAAAATCGGGTTTATCTAAGGTACTCCGAGAGGCTTAGCATATCCTGCTCCGCACGCGTCTTCCGTCGTGTTGAACATGTGTTGAACATGTAAGAACATGTCCGTTCTAATTCGGGACGTTACATTGGGGAAAAGATGCAGGATGAATAGGTTTTCAAACTTATCAGTGTCAGCTTTAGCTACCATGTTCTTATTAGCACTTGGTCAATACCTCTGATGGTAAAATGGTCATCCCGTCTTATAGCAATAACTTAGTTCCTGACATGAAACTACGGATAGTTATGCTTATTCGTCAACAGATAAACATGTACTGAAACATAATGATTAGAATTATTTATAAAAAAATAAATTAATTAACATCTGTAAAACGCAGCATAGGTGGAAAATAAAAAAAAAATCGACCTTACCTTACTTCTATTTTTATTACTGCTTCTGGGTTACACACATGTACCACATAACTCGGTTATTTCTTTTAAATGAACGGGTAAATAAAGGCCATAATTATTATAAATGAGCTTGCTCGCTACTATTGTGACAAAATTAAACACATCAACTGGACGAAGCATCGAAACTACGCACATCAAAATAAAGAAAATGCCTTTTGGAAGAAGAAAAAAACCATATACGGTAGATCATAAAAAGGACGGAAAATGAAAGCCAAACCCGGACAAAGCGTTTTAGAAATAAGAATAAGTGGTATGATTTCCAATGAGAAAAAACACTACTTGAGATAATTAACAACTATATGTCACCGTATGTCATTTACAAAGAGCAAGATAATACCGTAAAGTAAGGTTGTTTAAGGCTTTACATATTTACATTGTTTATATTCAATCAGATATAATGAATAATTCAAAACAGTTTCATTACAAACATGGTTAATATGATATCCCTGTCTATAAAACATGTCGTCAATCATTTGGTATTTTGCTCCTTTTATCTGTATATCAACCAACTATGAACAACACATTACAGCTGATGTCATCAATAAGTTGTTTTCCCCTTATTTCACTAAAATCTACAAGTAGTGAACCAATCGAAATGTCAATTCGGAATTATGAATAAAAAACATTTTAATTGACAGTCGTGAATTGGTTTGAAAGAGACAAGTCAATGTAATAAACAGAAACTGAGAGAATCCCAAGAATCTAAATCTTTTTGCACCGACTGAGTAAGCGTTTTATTATTCGTACGCAAGGTAAACTGATATTCAGTAAAGTAATCGCAATCGGGAATAGGACACACTCGGTTAAATAACAGATAAGACGACTATACTGGTTTATAGATATCTAAAACCTCGAAAACTTGTCTCTATTAAATTGAGATACCAACTAGCCGTACCGATATCAAATTCATCACCAATTGTTGCCTTTAACACTGTGTAGTGTTGATTTCAGTTGTTTTTCTTTATATCTCAGTTTTAATGAAGTTGGTATTGAAGAATATGCACGAGCGTAACACATTAGTTGAGAAATACTATTGAGTAGAGATTATGTAACTGCTGAGACATGAGAAGGTGACAATTGAAATGTTGAAATCATCATGTTTGTCATAGATTCTTGTTAGAAGCGTCCATATGTGTCAATATCGATGACAGATATTTTATTTAATAATCGAAGTACATATTAATGTTTAACTTTCAAGAGAATAAGGAAAATAACACCAAAATATAATGAAACTGCCTCGTTTATTTTAACATCCAAGTCACAATGTATGAACAGGTACGATTTTCCTGTTTAAGGTTAACCCAGGAAAGGGCTTTGAACGCATTAAATTATTAAGCGTGTTGTTTTCATTTTTCATCAATTATAAGTCAAAGTACATAACACATGAACATGATAAAGCATTTCATAGTAATTACTTGTGACAGAAACCTAAAAAAATAATGACACTGCTGTACATAATCCACACAGCGTACACAAACACAAACACTCGTAACAATGCAGACACGCACTTTATTTGCAATTTGGAGTAAAGTTCAACGTTTCAAAAGAGATACACTGCGCTTTGGAAATATTTGAAAGGAAGATGACATTTTTGTATTCACTTTGACCTTTTGTTATGTTTTCCTTATGGGATACATCAGTACAAATATATGCTTGTACAATTGTATATTGTTTATGATACATATCACATATAAGGAAAGATTAACACAAAATGAAAAAGAGAAGCCTTAGTAGTGAGGCATATTGAAAATTAGAAAACACATCTCATTTTGAATCTAGAAACTAGGCTCATAGCGAGCTAATTTTTTGTTATAAAAAAAATATATGTATTATTTTTGGTCAGA